AATCTACAGCAGACAAAACCCACTGGCGCATTCCTCTACAAAATACTCAGTCACTACACTTTACAATATATCCAGTGAAGGGCTTTGAGATTCCAGACACAAAAGGAGCTATAAGCAAATGCAAGTATTATTATTCTTATTACAATGAAATTTGGCTTTTTCAGCAAAGTGTCTAAAGCGTGCAGAAACCCATCACCACGCTGGAAAGTATCCAACCACACTGAGAATTACATATATGTATGCCACCTACACATGGAAATTTTCACATGTCTGGGCAGAATTCTCACTTTGAGGGTTCCACCTTGCAAGGAAGAAGTGAAGCTGGGAGGTGACAACTCATTCCAGGGCTTTGGATAGGAAGGGCAAGTTGGAGATCGTTCGGAAACTGGAGAGCAGAGAAGGGTCAAGTGACGGTTTCTTCAGGAGGAGGTGATGACAGTGGTTTTGAAAGGCGGGGAGTGCTGTACCAGTGGAGAAGCAGAGTAATGATTGGCTAGCAAAGGTGTGAAGAAGGGAGTTTGGGTGGCCAGAGAGATGTGGCTATATGTTCGAGGAGTGTTGTGTTCTCTCCCGCACCAGATTCCATGACCCAGTCACACCCACCCTCGCCCAGCTCCACTGGCTCCCCATCCCTCAGAGGATCGAATTCAAAACTCTGGCCCTCACCTTTAATGCCTTCCATGATCTTTCCCCTCCTACGTCTCCGACCTGTAAGCTCCTTACGCTCAGCAGGCTCCGGCCTGCACCATGTCTATTGCCCGACCCACCCCACCATCACGAGTTGGGCCTCCAGCATCTCTGCCCACAACCTCTGGAATTGCATCCCACAATTCCTTCGCCTTGATCCCTCACTTGCCTCCAGGGCGGGTCCCTGCCAGGGCGGGTCCCTGCCAGGGCGGGTCCCTGCCAGGGCGGGTCCCTGCCAGGGCGGGTCCCTGCCAGGGCGGGTCCCTGCCAGGGCCGGTCCCTGCCAGGGCCGGTCCCTGCCAGGGCCGGTCCCTGCCAGGGCCGGTCCCTGCCAGGGCCGGTCCCTGCCAGGGCCGGTCCCTGCCAGGGCCGGTCCCTGCCAGGGCCGGAGGTGGTTCAAGAAAGGATATGCGATGATGAACTGATGCTTGTTAAAAAGTAAGAAAAACATGTACAACTTACTGAACTCCCATTTATTTGCTGCCCTGCTAATATCTGTGGCATGAGCAGTTGTACGCTTGGGATAGAGAATATTCAGCCTTGTGTGACTGAAGACCTTGCTGATGTCTTCTCAGTAATGCATTAGCTGAACATAAAAAATTATCTCCAATGTACACAGTGTAGTATCTTTTAATGCTACTGTTAATGTTGCAGAATTGAAAAAGATGTTGGGATTGTAATTGTGTTGAATTTTTTTTATATTGACTGCACAGATGCAGATTAAATTTGTTGTGCATATAAATATAATCTAAGCCGTTTCCTGATGAAAGTAGTACTGTCACATCTATTCCTGGTTTAAGTCGGCAATGAATATTGTTTTGCATAACAGTATATAAGCAATAGGTATTGTTCATTCAGGAGCAGTGCACACAAAGTTTGTGATTGAAAAAGGGATCTAGATTCTGATTTCTAAAAGTGAGGTATAAATTGATGCTGACATTTTAAAATGAGTTTCACCCAACCCTCACAAGTACTATTGTTGTAAAGTTTAATTTGTATTTTCAGTACAGAGGCCCGTACTTCTGCATCAATCATTCTGCGAGGAGCAAATGATTTCATGTGTGATGAGATGGAGCGCTCCCTACATGATGCACTCTGTGTTGTGAAGAGAGTGCTTGAGTCCAAGTCTTTAGTTCCAGGAGGTGGGGCTGTGGAAGCTGCACTCTCCATCTACCTGGAAAACTATGCAACTAGTTTGGTATGGGTTTAATTGTATTTCAAGATTATTGGGGGAGGGCACTTTTACCGTATGCTTTGAGCTGATTAACCAGGGATTACTGTCCCTATTAATTTGCAGTATTAAAAATTATTTTAAGAAAATAAGTTAAAAGTACTTCATGTATTTAACTGTTGGTTGTCTTTTTGTTTAGGGATCACGTGAACAACTTGCCATTGCAGAATTTGCCCGGGCCATGTTGGTTATTCCTAAGACTCTGGCAGCGAATGCTGCTCAGGATTCTACAGACCTTGTTGCAAAGTTGCGTGCATTCCACAACGAAGCTCAGGTCAATCCTGATCGCAAAACTTTGAAATGGTAAAAATTTTATTGTACTGTGGTCTGCAAAAGATTGTGACTTGAGACCCATTGTTGTCTGAATCAGCGATGAAACTAAATTTGAACATTGTTGCAATTCATGAGCAATCATTGATTTTTGGTGACCTGGTGCCCCAGATAGCAGTAAAGTGCAAAATTGATTTTCTCCATCTTGTTAAAGTAACTTTTATGGCTGAGTTGTCAGAATTCAATCGGAAATTATGAATGTTTTACTAATATTGTAGTGACTGGCTATTAAAACAGTGTTAATCAAATTGACATTTTGCTTGTGCAGGATTGGTCTTGATTTATTGAATGGGAAGCCAAGGGACAACAAACAAGCTGGTGTCTTTGAGCCTACTATGGTTAAAGTCAAGAGTCTGAAGTTTGCAACAGAAGCTGCTATAACCATCCTGCGAATTGATGATCTCATCAAACTTTACCCAGATGAAAAGCAAGACAAAGGAAAGAGTTACCAAAATGCAGTTCAAAGTGGAGAGCTTAATGGCTGAAGCACCTGAGTTCTCAAATCAGCTATTATAATTTATGTTTAACTCTTGGCATCCATCAGGTGCTTCTTGTACTTCTGTTCTAGATTGAGCAGCTTGTCATGCTTGTCTGAAATTCAGTGCCACTTGTTCAGTGCTCTGTTTAATTTACTATGCTTGTTTAGTGCTATTTGGCACAAACCGGATTTAAAAGACCTCTTACTTTGTTACCTATAGTCAACTCTTTCAAGTTATTTGTGCAAAATTATTTCCTGTACATTGACAGTTGTGCTTCAAGCTCCTTCAGAAATAAAATGTGACAGTTGTCAAGTGATCAGCCCATCTATGTAGGGAGCTGTTAAGAGAGCACCTTAATTTCATGAATAAACGTTGATGTTGTGCTTCTGGTCTTTTCAAATCTAATTAATTGTGTATGTTATTTCATTGTGGACATGATTTCTCCCTCACACAAATTCACTGGGGAAAACATTAATTAAAAATACTACTGGGGAAGGATGTAATAAGGCACTATATCAAATACAAGGATGATTATTATCTCCCCAAATAAGTAACCTCTCTGATTCTTGGTTGCTGATCTTACCATGGGGAATGATAAAATGCTCAAAAGTATTAGGGCAGCATTTGTAAATCAATTAAAGCAAAATTAAAATACAATGAATGTTCCCCTGCTTTCTCACATGTATTCAACCATCTTGCCCTTCTATAAATACTGGCACTGGATGTAATTTGAGAGTCAGTTTACAAGATTCAGCAATGGTACATTGAGCAATTTATTTCATAAAGAAAAAAATGGTCAACCTGAAATTTTTTTTTTTTTCCTTGCATTTGATATAGCGCTTTTCACGTCGGGAGGAAGTCCCAAAGCGCTTCACAGAACACACTGTAAAGTGAATTGACTGTATATTTGTGGGCGAACGCGGCAGCCAATTGCGCACAGCAATGCCCACAAACAGTCGTAGATTGAAAATGACCAATTTATTATTGTTTTTGTTTTTGGAGGGATTATTATTAGGCTCTGTGTGGAGTAAGGAAACTTGCCCAAGGTTTCGCCCTGCCTGGAATTGAACTCAGGTCTCTCACTTGCAAAGCGAGTGCTCTAACCACTGAGCTACAGGTCTCCACGAGAGATAATTGAGAGATAATAGGAAGGAGTTTATGAATTTTAACAAAAGTATGGATTCCACATACACAATATTACTATGATTTCAAACTTCAGTACTTTTAATCAAATATTTAAAAGTTACACTAATTTTCAGAACCATTTTATGTGGACTGAAGTTTTGAATAGTTTTAAGACCTACCTACTTTACACATTCATTATAAAAACAAAATGCACCTACATTTCATTGGAATCAGGCTGTAACCTCTAAAATAAAAGCTCAATTTTATCCAGTCAGTAGCTTAGCTGCAGAGTATCTTCAGTTCTTGTAGTAAAATTTAGGTGTAATTTATTGCCTTTCAACACACATAGCTATTCCCATTCCACCTCCTGTACACAAAGAAGCAATGCCACGCTTTTTTCCTGTTCTCTCCAGTGCGTAGAGAAGTGTAACCAGAATGCGGCACCCAGACATTCCCAGAGGGTGACCTAAAGCAATAGCACCACCTTGGATGTTTACCTAGAAAGACAAACACAAAAAATACATTTTTTTAAAAAAGAGGGAAAACCTTTTCCCTAATTTTCTCCTTACTCCACTGGCCTGCTTCAGGTCCCCGGCCTATCCTACCATCAGCAGTCAGGCTTTCAGCCTATCTGCTCTCACTTTGTGGAACTCCAACGAGAGCCCTATCACCTCAACTCTCCCTTACCTCCTTCAAGGTCCTCAAAACCTTCCTCTGACCGGTCATCTTCCTGGCCCCCATCCCTCCCGAATCCAACTTGGGACATCCTCCCGACATGAAAGGCGCTTTATAAATGCAATTTGTTGTTTTATTACATCCCACATTGACCCATTGGGTGAATCAGGAAGTAAAAAGGATCAATTGCATTTAGTTGTAGTGCCAATTTTTATATCTACATTTCTCACCTTCTCTGGGTTTATACCCAGTTCCTTGACAACAGCTACAGACTGTGATGCAAAAGCTTCATTGATTTCGAAGAGATCAACTTCATCCAGCGTCCAGCCGGCTTTTCCTACCTAGAATAAATAGTAAATCTAAGTCATTACCCTTGAATCTGAAGATGATGGAATGCACAGTGGGTGAATCATTGGTTGAAAAGAAAACAATCTACTTGACCCTACTTCAGGGGGGACACAATTTGACCGCTCCTCAGTCAATGATATCAGCCATGTGAGGAGTGACCGAGCAGACCTTTTCCAAATGGGAAAGGGAGATACCTGGAGTTGAGCCATGACCCCAGTCTCGTCTCCTGCAGGTGCTTAAAAAACAATAGCAGAGTCCTGGGGGCAGCAACCTAGCTTCTGCCATCCCTCCTGGTAATCTACTGTAGTTGCAGCAACGTGTAAAGAAACACTTCTTGTTGTGTGTCCTAAATAATGTCCTTTACAACTCTGAAACTGTACGTTGTTTTCTGCTGGCCTGGTGTATCTGAATATATTATTGTAGGTTTATTTTCTCAATCTCATTCAGCATCTTATATACCTCTATAGAGGTCCCCTCTATGACATTTGTTTCTGAGGCTTGAAAAAGCTTAGAATATGCAACTTTCTGAAACCTTCTCCTACATGCACTCACACGCGCTCGTGCAGATGAACCAGTCAGTCTCAAAATCTCTCCTCCTAGGAGTACAGCACATACCTCTCCTGGAAGGGACGGAGACAGGAACAATTTCTTTTTCAAAATAGCCAGCTTTCTGTGCTGCCTCAGTTCGGTTCTGGGACTGTACAGCAAACTTGTCCTGCTCCTCTCGACTCACATGCCACTGCATCGCCACGTTCTCAGCTGCATCGAGAGGACGAGAAAAGTAATTCGGGAAACGTTCTGTAGCTTCAAACCTTTATATAAATATGTGCATGGCCAAGAGACCGTAGCTATACATAATGATGGCTATCAAGTAACATGCTACTTTACATCTACGTCCGTTCTATGAGCTTGCACAGCTTTGGTTCACACATTCACACCCTCCAAGGTGGTTTTAGGATAACACACACCTTCCTGGCTTCTGTTAGGCCAGTCATCACAGTGTAAAAGTACTGCCCTCGGGTGACTTTGCTTATCTGTCACCACAGAGGATAATTTTAAAGATATATTGTTGCTCTAAAAAGGTTAAAAGCTTGAGCTTCCAAGGAATTCAACCACAGAATCTTTTGGTCTTAAGTTGGCTGAGCCATGTAGGATGCCTGGGTCTCCACCAAGAATAGTATGTTTCTATTCGCGAGGATGTTTAAAGTGCTTCACAACTATGAAGTGTGTAGTGACTGTGTATTTTGTAGGAGCATCTTTAGTCAACAGTCATGTTCCCTTTACAGTTCAGAACAGAATTAACCTCCTCCATATTTTGAACTTCAGAAAGGATTCAGGTTTGTTCCAGTAAATTTGTTCACATTTTTCCAATCATCGATGAGCACCTCCACAGCTGAGGTAGTTAATACACGGCACTTTGGATTGCAATCTGAGCTCAAACACATTCTGCCCATTATTTCAGTATCTAATTTTAAGAAATGGTTACAATACATGATTAAATAGAAACAAAAAGAACATTTTCTATTCAAATAACGCCCCCCATTTTTAATCAGAACAATACTATCTTATAAATTTATCAAACCCTGCATATAGATTGCTCCATTCCCAAGCTGCTCTCTTTGAGCACTTGGTTGACAAAGGCACTGCCTGGCGTTGAACTGAGACTTGGAAGACCAGATTTGTGCCAGGTTACCTGGTGTCAGCTTGGCAGCAGATGGGATGTTACAATTAGTTTGTATAAGTAGGAGGAAAAATACAGCCAGTGTTCCCACTTCTTATCACATTCAATGGTCCTGGCTGGAAGGTGCTTGTGTGTGGACAGGAAGAGACTTGCCTGTGATATTCCATCTCCTCTCATGGTCAAACAGCCCAGTGACCCTTTACCACTCGGATTCACACATGAAGTACGGCCACTTTAATGAGATACTGGAGGGCAGCTGGTAGCCTTAGAACTAAACGCCACAGATCCTCAGAGAGGTTAGAAAACAGAGGGAAATGCAATTAATTTCCAGTACTTAAATGCAAACCTTGTATTTATTCAGTGACAGTTCTTACCTGTTACACCCATGTGGTAGTTATAAAAGGCGTCCATTAGGCCATCACACAGAATGGTATCCTGAAGGGACATGTCTCCTACTTTGACCCCAACTCGCATTGGAACCACATGTGGAGCCTGTGATTAAAAGAAGCAGGTTTTAGCTAAGTGTACTTGCTGTGTACTGGGACTCCACATGCAACAAGATCTGGCTGGAGAAAAGGAAGAACTTGCATTTGTATAATGCCTTATTTTGTGGACCACTGGCACCAGTATTGGTGAAAGAGGGAGCTCTTCCATCAGGATGTCATTGAACATATTCAAGACTGAGATTGATTTTTAAAAACTAAAGGGATTAAGGGATATGGGGATAGGGCGGGTAACTGGAATTAGGTTAGAAGATCAGCCATGGTCTTATTAAATGGCGGGGCAGGCTTGAGGGGCCGAATGGCCTACTCCTGCTCCTATTTCTTATGTTTTTAATGTTGACAAGACAAAGGCTTTCCTGCTTGGCTCCCGTCAGCATCTCCGCACTTCAGGCATTGGCTCACGTCAGCTCACGGAGACAGTACAGAATATCAAATCAACGATTTATTCAAACCTCATCTTCAACCTTTCATCTGGGGCTTATCAAGTTGACGTTCTTCCATCTTCACAACACTGACTGCCAACTTCAGCCACAGCCCCCCTTTCCCCACCCCCAGCCACCCTTAACAGCACCTTTTGCCCTATTATTATTATTATTTATTATTATTATTTCCCCAATCCCTCAACCTATCTCCCCGGCAGGGGCTGGGTGGGGGGGCAGGGGCTGGGGGGCAGGGGGTGCAGGGGGGGCAGGGGGCTGGGGAGGGCAGGGGCTGGGGGGTGCAGGTGGGGCAGGGGCTGGGGGGTTATGGGCTGGAGGGGTGCAGGGGGGGGGTCAGGGGCTGGGGGGGCAGGGGGCTGGGGGGGGCAGGGGCCTGGGGGGGGCAGGGGGCTGGGGGTGGGCAGTGGGCTGGGGGAGGGGGCAGTAGGCATGGGGCTGGGGGGGGGTCGCTGTGGTGATGGTAATAGTGATGGTGAAGGCCCCGCACAAACAGCTTCAATTATCCTTCAGCTGTTTGCAGGAAATCCGCCTCCAGAGCAGCGCCTCCACACACACACACACACCCCCACTGTCCGGGGGTCTCTCCCCCCAGTGTCCGGGGATCCTCCCGAGTGTCCGGGGGTCCCCAGTGTCCGGGGGTCCCCCCCAGTGTTATGTTATGAGAGACCCGAGTTTAATTCCAGGCAGGGCGAAACCTTGGGCAAGTTTACTTACTCCACACAGAGTCTAATAATAATCCCTCCAAAAACCAAAAACAATAATAAATTGGTCATTTTCAATCTACGACTGTTTGTGGGACATTGCTGTGCGCAATTGGCTGCCGCGTTCGCCCACAAAAAGTCAATTCACTTTGCAGTGTGTTCTGTGAAGCGCTTTGGGATGTCCTCCCGACGTGAAAGGCGCTATATCAAATGCAAGGATTATTATTATTATTATTATTATTATTACCTCTGTCGTGCTCCCTCCCTTACATCCTTCAAAACTCATCTCAAGACCCTCCTCTTCGACCATGCCTTTGATCACCTTCCTTCCCCCCTGCCCTCCACCTTCCCCGATCCCGACCCCCAGCTCGGGTCCGAAACACTGACTGCCCAGGACTTGGGATGTCCTCCCGATATGAAAGGTGCTATACAAATGTAATTTTGTTGTTTTCCAAGGTAATTAATTTGTTGTGCAGCATTCTCAACATGAGAGACTGGAGTTAATAGGTTAACATCTCTTTCTCTTTCACACTACAAAACTTGTCAGAATTGAAATGTTGTCTGTTTGCACTCAGATTAAGATTCAGCCCGTAAGGGATAGGTTTTGCTAAAAGATGTCTCGCCCACTCCAACCAACACGGAAGTGGTCACAAAGCATGTTATGCAGAAGTTTGGAGCCACTATTAAATATTTATGTTCTTTGAATGAGAAAGAGGAGGGAAAAAACAAAAGGTTCTCAGAAACAAAACGATCCTTGATGAAATCTAAAATATTGTATTTTCCAAGTTTGAGACTTGTTTTTACTGTTGTATAATTCCACACAAACCTCTACTCCACAAGACCATAAGATCATTGAGGCTATTTTACTCAAGGGTCATAATAATACAAGCTGTCACTCTCTGAGTTTAATGTGGGTAATTAACTTGACTTTGTGAGTCATCACATCTCACAGTAATGCCTACGTTTACTGTTAGAATTGTTTAGTCTCGGTATTTAAAAAAACTGGGTACAAGTTGACATGAATTGAAAGGTAACTCAGGCCTTTCTATCTGCTTGGAGCCGTTTAATCTCTCATTCAATTTAATCAACTAAAACGGTAAAAGATACAAACTGACTCAAGAGATGCTCAGAGCACATAGGTGCTGTGTTTGTGCAGTAAAAGCATTGCTTCCTTTGTAAAAATAGACATTAACTTTTCACAGGTAGTGGCAATAATAGTGATCAAATCAAAGACAGTCTGAAGCTATGAGTCATGTGAAGAAGGTGTGACTGGCATAAAAGTAGAAGAAATGTCAATGCACAGGGTATGATGATGTAGACCAGAAGTCACTGTGGGAGTCTCAATGCAAGAGGACAGCATAAATTTACATAGTGATACAGCATGGAAATGGACCATTGAGACAGTCACAAAACAGAACTGATCTTAAATTAGCACTTGAACCGAAGTCAATAAAACTAGATTGAATACTGTAATGCAGAAAAGCAATAGGGTTTGCCAATCTGCCTTTTGTTCATTTATATTATTGTTCCCTTTTCCTAGATCATAATTTCTTTGCATATTTATATATAAAATCCTCAGAAACAGACTTGAACAGGGTTTCACTGTTGAAAATGCCATTACATGACCAATTGCAATTGTTCTTCTGTCACACAACAACAACAAGATTCCATTTATAGAGCGCCTTTCACGTCGGGAGGACATCTGTCAGTAATGTATTTTATATAAATCTTGCTACATAATTTCAGGGTTGGACAGCATGCAGTATGTTAAATGGAACATTTTCCGCAGCTAATATAATTCAGAAAGTTCCCTTTCTGAATTCTGAAGAGAATATTCTCAGTAACAATTACAATACACTACATGAAATGCTAGCACCACGCTATGCAGGAAAGCAAGGTCAAAAAAAAATCACTGACTTATACAAGAAACCTGTGATATAATCTACCATGAGGCAGTGCAATATGAAGTACAGGAAGGCAATGATGCAATGCCCAGGAAAACAATGATATCACACCGCAAAGGAAGACAATGGCAAGTAGAAAATAGTTGCCAATAATTGTGAGGTTAATTTCAAATGCTAACACCACAAAATTGGATGATATTTGAACTTACTTCAACCCTGTATAAAATATTGAGTAAAGTGGCACAAAATAAACCAGGGGGAAGGAAGGGATGCCATTCTTTATGGTCAGTTGCCCAGGGAATATGAGGCACTTGATTTCTTTAGACAGGGTTATCAGCAATAACATGCAAATTCACTTCAGTCACTTCACTTGCTATTGGCATTGATGTCCAAATCCTAAATTATATTTGGCGCTAAAACTCAGGACTTTCATTTTTTCTATGCAAAGAAAATGTCTGTCTAAGTGTGGTGTACGTTTTTTGTCCTTTTTAAAAAAAACATTTTGAAGGGCAGGTATAGAGAAAATTAAATATAAAAGTTAATCAAACAGTTGAGACGTGTTTGTAGAGTTTAAATTACTACGCTAACTTTGAAGAGAATTTTGATTAGTCCAACTACTTAAACTAATTGGTGGGGGGCAACGTTGAGTTGTGAAGCTCAGTGGTTAGAGCATTCACCTCACAAGCGAGAGGACCTGGGTTTGATTCCCGGCAGGTCAAAATCTTACGCAAGTTTCCTTACTCCACGTACCTCTGTTTACTTAGCAGTAAGTAGGAACCCAGTTGTTAGTTGATTGGCAGATCGCTTTCCAGGGGGATTAATTCCTTCAAAAATAAATAAATAAATAACTAATAATAACTTGGTCACTCAATCAATGAATGTTTGTGGGACACTGCTTTGTGCAATTAGCTGCCGCATTTCGCCCGCAAAATTCAGAATATATTCTGTGAAGAGCAACGAGAAGTCTCCAATCTTTCAGTTAAATTAACAAGACCTTTAACTTTGTGTAGCATGCACTAAAAGTAGTTTGCAGAAGAAGCAGTAAAAGGTGAGAAAATAAAGGATTGTAAAAAGAATAAATAGAAATTGAACTAAAACTGACACCAAGAAGAGAGCAGCACGAGTCAAGTAGCAGAAAATGGACAAAAGAAAGAGACATGAGGAATTGCTGAAGGTCTAACCACCAAAGAGAGAGGAGATTGATTTGTTCTGTACGTCAGTCAACTATTAGTGAAGCAATGATAATAAAATCTTTATACTGATATAGTCCCTTTCATGTCAGGATGATGTTTCAAAGTGCTTCAAAGTCATCTGATCAAATGGACTGTATGTGTCTATATTGTCATCAAGGTTACAGAAATAACATTGAAATTGTATGATTCTTATCTTTTTATATTTAATACTTGTCAACTTTGCAAAGCAATTCTTGATCACTGACCCTGATCAAGGTTATAATAATTAATTCAATTAATTCAAACTTGCAAATATTGCATTTTGGACTCTTCCCTCTCTGCCCCCACCATGCATGCAGTTTGCTTATCTCTTTGACCTTGCCTTCGATTAACACCCTCAAGTTACCCTCCTTAATAATAATCCTTGCATTTTGATATAGCACCTTATCACATCACGTCATAAAGCGCTTCATAGAATATACTGCAAAATGTATTGACTGTACATTTTGTGGACAAAACACGGCAGCCAATTGTGCACAGCCATGTCTCACCAACAGTCGTGGATTGAAGTGATCAATTTATTATTATTACACGTCGAGATAGAGGGATCTGCTTCCCCAACACATTTCAGAGGTTTTTTTTTCAGATTATCATGGGTTATATTCATTCCTCATCCAAATTTATCTCCATATTCAACTGAATTGATCACTCATCTTGTTGTTTATGGGAAGTGGCTGGTGCAGATTATCTGCCTCATTGGCCTTTTCAGTTCAAACACTTTGGATTGAGTGACAATTTTTTTTGAATGGAATTATTACCCCTGGAAAATGATACGGCAATCAACTAACAACCAGACCTACTTACTGCTTAGTAAACAGAGGCGTGTGGAGTAGGGAAACTTTAAATGTAATAAAAGGTCTTCATGCTTGAAGAAATTTTGTTAGCCCACTTTTTACCTGTGTAAGTTCTCAGTTTTCTCAAGCTGTGACTCTAATACTCAGTTATAATACTATAGACCTTTCTGAAAAACGTCAGTCTTCTTCCATCTCAGTTTGCACCTTTTGTACTTTCAGGTCAGCGCACAGCTTTATTTTCGAAAATGTTTAGAAAAGCATACATGTGTTGTAGAAGAACCATAAAATGTCACTACATGTGGTTTTCTGAGAAACCAGAATGGGAATGAATGCTAGATGATGTGAATAGGTGCTGTGTTTTATCACTGGAGATTTAACATTTGGTTTAGTGCCAAGCTGTTTCTGTGTAGACTTTAAGCAGCCTCTAGGATTTCCATTAAATAAGCAGATGAATGTCTTTTTGCAATCTCTCAGTAATGAAATGATTTTTTGTACACATAAATTAATATTAATTTCTCAGATTTCTACCATTATGGATCCTCCTGATGGTTCTGTTATTTTGATCTGTATTCACCACCACAAGTCTTCTGCACAGACCGTTCCTGGATTCACTTTGATGGGTTTGAAGTTCAAGTTTGTTAACATGTCAAAAGGAGTGAAGAATGCAACCAATGTGGTGCCATTGTGAACAATTCCCAAGATGGTGGACCAAACACCACCTTATTTTGATATGTATTCATGGCACAATACTGTGGTATAAAAATAAATATTTTCCCTGTAATGATGCTCCAAACTTTTCAGGAAGGGTTTTAGAGATCTTATTTATTTATCAGTTGCAGCTACATTTATGAGTAGTAAAGTATTTTATTGATTTATTTTTAACCACAGAAGAGGATCATTAAAAACTAGTTTATCTGATGTAGGAATACTATGGGATTAAATGCCAGTCCACCTGAATTGTAAAGTAATCCAGGTCTCTGCATTCTGATTCGCACCTTCTGGTACCAAAGA